ATAATAATATTAAAATTAAATATATTTTTGTGTATTATATGGTTGCTATTGGTTATACAATTTATACTTGTCATTAGGTAGGTACCTACCAATTAAAAAAAATGTTTCACCTTTAYCGAGCTAMAAAATACGATATAGGTATATTATGGTTAAATACACTTTTAGTCCTGTATTTTAAATAACTATGTCAAAAATCTTTTATGGAGAWAAAGATATTGTAAATCCACCGGAATTTGCCATGTGGAGTTTTTATCACGACTATAATAACCGGGTATAAAGTATAAACTACGAATTAACTAAACAATTTTAATCATATATATTATACATATTTAACGGGCAACAAAGTGCACGAGGATTAGCTAATATACATAACTCATACCTACAAGGCTACAACCTACTTAATTGTTGGTATCTAAATTCTAAATACTTAAATGTTGGTATCGAATATCAATTATATCTAGTATCCATATAGGTATAGGTATAGGTAAAATCCATATAGGTATATCAAGTATTAATGTATTATCTAGTATCGCGATAATGATTTTTGAGATCTTGTCCATCCTTGTTCTGAACCTAGCTAATTATTAGAACATAATTATTGTCTTTATGTTTATTAATAACAATAAGTATTTACTACATTTTACTAACGGGTGGACTTTAATTATTCATTACAGTGGTGTGGTGAACAATTTTAATTRAAGGAGCCAAATATATTTTATATACCTATATAACTCACAATAAAAGTAAAAAGTTACATATTCGATACATATTTACAGATATAAATTAATAATTTGATCTACGCATTACATTTGCGAATACAATAATAATAATTTAACCTACATTACGTTTTCTTAAGCAATGGCCTATCTTATTTAAAAATTCTGCAATATTGTTAACTCGTTATTAACAATCTTTGTACATAAATATTGTAATTACCTACACTTTATTTTTTCTTACGGGTTCCATATTATGTAATGATATTTAAGCTTTAGCTTTATCTACCACCACTTATTTACGAAATTTATTAATCAGACTTTTTGTCCGACAGTAAAAATGTGTTCGGGGGACGAGGTGGCCGAGTGGTCTACCGCGTCGGCTGTGGCTCGGCCGGACCGGGTTCGATCCTCGACCATCGGGCGGCATTTTTCTCCGGGCAAGTCACGGTGTCCGGAGAACAAATGCCGCAATCCCCCACTCCGGGGCATGGCTGAAACCTACGAGTGCCCCAATAGAAATTTTGCCAAAACTCTCACCTACGTGTAAAACCAACCTACAGTTCCATTAAAACCTACAGTACTACCCMCTTCCCAATGGCCTTAGTTGCCGCGGGATAATTAAAAAAAAAAAAAATGTGTTCGGACTTTTTGTACGGCAATCAAAAAACGAATCCGGACTTTTTGTCCAACTATTTCCATACCGGACTTTTTGTTCCCGGACTTTTCGTCCAGGAATCGTCAAAGTAACCCCAAAAACAACACGATTAAATACCTACGTATGATTTTCTAAGCAATTATGTTGCCATTTATTATTTATTATTGTAAATACGTTTAATTTTTTAAATGATAACGTAATAAAACCCACCATAGCCATAGGTTTATAMAATTTACAATATTATGCCTACTAAATTATAACTTAATCCATTGGACGGTAATATGTATCAACATGAATGGAATTCAATGGCTTTATTAAATTGTTCATTGAAATAAGAACGGAATGATTCACAACTGTTGATTGTTATTTTTATTGTCACCGTATGTGAAGCCCACATACTTGGTGAAAATTTCGAATTTGAAATTTCGAACTATTATTACGGAAGGTCATATCAATTTTGATTGACTGTAGTTTGAATATTAAATTAAATTCTTAACATATATTTGCACTACTTGAAATAATGTTTCTTTATATGGTTCAATCTTTTTATCTTTTAATAAACGAAAAACTAAGGGTGTATAATATAGGTATACATTATAAATATTCCATTGTATTGTAAATAATGATTAATGAAGGATAATATGAAAATGTGCCGTCATTCATCAACATAAATTATTTTGGATTTATACATAACATTTTGAAATATGATATTGCATGAAAATATTGTTATATTAGAAAGGKCATCATTCACTAACAACAATCCTTCATAATTTATTGGAAGTAAATTTATCAACAAAACTTAGACACTGTGAAAATTAACTACTTCACATGTTGCAATGGATTCATCGGAAAATATTTTGACCACCATCACTTTTATGAAAAGCTTACACATCTCAACCTTTCCAGACAATCTTCGTTGAATAGGGTAAAGACAAAAAAGTGTCGTGAAATTTTTCAGTGTTACACTGTTACATACAATCATATGTTAATATTGTAAATCAATACTGGTGTAACTAATGATGGGTGGCTTCTTTAATAATGCCAATTACGCGTGTTAAAAGCAAATCATTGGTRAAATATTATAATTGTGCATCGTATGTATAAATGGGGTATATCTTATTTTTTTATTACGTACTTAATATCTATATGTCCATAAATGTTTAATTACTTTTCTATGTCAACATTTTCTAATTTTTATAGATTCTGAGTGTCCTTATTCTTATTGCTCATAAATGTATTGATTTTATAATGATGYGTGTTTTATTATTTATTATTAATTTTTTTTTTTGTGTCTGTGTAGACGATAAGTTGTCTAAATAATGCTTCAATTTTCAACGGTCGGAAAGTGAATCTGGTTAGTGCATTGGAGAGGTTAAAATTTAAAATCCCCAGTAGTTTTCAAAAGCACTAGGAAAACAAGGGAAAGAAATTAAGGGCAACCAGAAATTTTTACGCAAAATCGGTTTTTGAGAGAGTCAACTTTGATATTGGCGTAACTCTAAAACAGTGGCCTTCAACCTTTTTGGACTCGCGACCTACTTTTTTAGGCCTACATTTTTTGTGACCCATGTAAGCTCTGTAAAAAAGCATTATGCTTTGCAGTAGTAGGTACTATTAAAACTGAATAAATAAAAATTACATTTTAGTAAGTAGAATATTTAATTATTACTATTTTAAATTATTATTTATTATTATTAATATTTAATTATTACTAGATAGAGTTCATATGAAAATATAAAATAAAATAAAAATATGATACAAAAGATTTAATGTGAACTTTGTCCTTGAGTGTTTTCACATAATACATTTCACCTTGGATCAATTTGACTTGGCGTGATTCGTAAATCATCTTCTGCAGTTTCAAGTCTATTTCTTTAGGACGTTTTAAAATTTGCCATAGTAAAATGGGACTCTATCGATGATAACAMTGTACCTATATTAATTCTATAAATAACACAGTTTATTCGTAAATACTTATCTCAATATCTTACTACGTTGAATCATACCAATGTAATATGAAACATTATACTTGATATCCATTATGATTATAATATTAATTTTAATATTTTTTTTTACCTCATATAATTTAAAAAATTTAATTTTAATTTTAAAAATAAGATTTTTCGCGACCCAAAAATGGGTTGAATACCACTGTTCTAAAAGCTCTAGGTACATGCATTTTTAACTGAATTTTTACATTGTAATTTTCTATATTCGATTAAATTT